TTCTAGCCCAAAGTTTGTGTGACTCATTTTAACCCAAAAGAAAGCCCAGTACTTAAGTGATTTAATAGTTCTTTTTGTGTTTGCATTCAAATAAGAGCCACACACCATATTTGATTTTTAAGCTCTTGCTTGGCTTACTGCCCTCAGCGTCAAGACCTTCATTATTGAGTTTTGTTTTCATTCACTCTAAACTTTTTCCCGTGGGTGGAAATATGTGTGCTTGGCCTCAGCTCACAGGGAAATTATTTAATATATAATTCTGAACTTAATATGCTGAGTTAAGTAATGGTAGAACAAAATTAGCTTTTTTTTTTTTTTCTTATTTGTGAAGCAAATTATGCTCTTCAAGATAGGTGAATGTTTATTTCCAAGCTGACAGAATTCTTCTAAAATTTCTACTTCATGAGAGTTCAGGGAGAAAATAAAATAATAAATAGAATTGAAAAAATGTTGTAAGACTGTTAGGTATATATATATATATATATATATTTGTTCTTTTAACTTTTTTCTTCTTTTACAATTTTATTGTAAAATTTTAAGGTACCTTTAAAGATCATGTACTTTTCTTATTTTGAAAATAAGTGCTTTCTGTATTTTTGTTTTAATTTTCTGAACCAAAAGTGTCCTGGAAATACATAGAAATTTTTTATTTCAGTATAGAGATATTTTTAATGCAGTGTGAGTGCTCAACTTTAAACTACCTGAATTTTTAAATGAAAAAGGATCAATTCCAACTCTCCTTCTGTATCCATTATGCATGTGAAAAAAGCAGATCATATTAGTGCATAGTTCATTTAAAATAAAGGTAGACATCCTAAACAGGATGAGAATTTGGACTGTTTATATATGAGTCCTTTTTGTGTTCCAGCTCAATGCTTAACCTTTTAATGTCTAAACTTAACACATAGAGCATATATAAAGTGGATAAGTTAAGGTTATTATGAGGGCCATAACTTTCCAGTTTCCTATATGTTTAAATTTGAAACTTTAATGTTGTACTAATGGAATTTTGTGTTTTATATGTATATGCACAAGTCTGCTAGACAGATGCTAAAAATGCCAGAATGGAACCAATTAGAACCTAAAAATGTCCTATAAATGTGATTATAGGGTTTAGGCATCTTGTTGAGATCACTTTTTGGTTTTTGACAAAGCTAGCATAGCTGATCGGTATTCAATACATGAGAAGAATGTTCATGTCTGCCAAAGAGCATCCTTGAGTGTTATTTGGCTATAGGTGTCTTAACTTCACAGACTGCTAAATGACTGTGTGCAAGGAAAATATTTGTGTATTTTATCACTTATTACCATCAGATTCCTTTATTATTTTAGAAATGAAAATAAAGAATATCTTGGCTATGAGAAAAAATAACCTTAAAAACACTAAATTTAGAGAAAATTCATCTGTGGTATTTACTTTCTTTGCACAACTCTTATAAGTTTGTCAGAGAAACTATTATGTAATAGTGTACACATTGTTAAAATGCAGGACGAGGTTAATTCCATTCTCTCTTTTGGGATTTAGTTGTTCGGTCATGCTAGCTATGCTATTATTTTAAATACGGAGCAGAATTCCACACGGCTTTAAGCTCCCCAAGAGTGAGGCAATGATTGATTCATTAAACTCTCCCTCCCTTCATCCTCTTTGCTAACTTCTCTTTCGTCATTCCACAGGTTTCACTGAATGCCTACAGACTTGTAGTCACCCTGCCCTAGGCACAGGAGATAATAAATTCATTAAGATAGAATTTCTGTCTGCAAAGAGAACACAGTTTTATGGGTCAAATAGACAAGAAAATCAGTCACTCATTGATTCAGTGGAAGGTGTGGTAAGTGGAAGAGGTACATAGAAGAGGAACCTTGATCCTTCGTTGGAATGTGGTTGGCAGGTGAGAGTGATAGGGGAGAAGTAGTCAGGAAGAGCAGAAAGAGCAGGTAGCAATGGAATTGAGTCTGAGACATGGAGATGTAGGAGTAACCCAAGCAAATTAATGTGAGGAAACAAGAACTTTGGTTGGGGCAGAGGGGTGGAGAGTGAGGTTTGTAGTAGTGGGGTTACATGGCCTTCCACACAGAGAACAGCTTAAATTCAAGTATGGATGAATATGTGGGAAACCTATTAGGTACTGTAGACAGATAAAATGGCTAGAGAAAGAACAATGTGGAAATAATGGGAAACGACACATGAAAAATATTCCAGGTTATGAAAGAAAAGCCCACATAGAAAATTGGATCTTATCCTAAAAGCAATTAGAAGTTGTGAAGTAATTTAAATCAGAGTGGTGGACTAGTTGTATGTGTACAGAAAAATCATTCTGGTGGCGATGTAGACAGAGGATAAATTGGAGAGACATGAAGCTATTAAAGATGATATTATGATAATGCGGAATTCTCAGAGTCACAGGCTGTCTAAGGTCTAGGTAGGTGGCACAAACAGTTGAAATGGGTGGAGTTCAGAAACTGGAGAACTTGGACTTAGGGCCCATGTAAATAAAAGGAGCTACCACTTGGCTCCAGCCAGTTGTTGCCATTTGGGAAGGCAAAGACACCCCACCACATGCATACACACACTCTGTTGCACATTCACTATTTACTTTTGACTCTTAGATGGGTGTCAAACATTTTAAAAAAACATGAATGGGTCAATATTATATTTATATATTTGTTTTGACCAAACAAAATAAATCTTTGGGCCAGATACAACCTAAGCCAACCTATCACGGAAGTGTGTTTTTTTGAACATTGATCTTTCAAAAATAAGTTCTGTGATTGAATAAATTAGAA